TGCCGAAACTGCAGATGATATTCCACAGTTTGCTCTCTATTTCTAAGGGTTTTGCAGCTGTTAAAAAAAAAAAAAGGGTCATTTCTGAAGTTTTCAACAAAATGCAAATAAGGGTCAGGGGCACCACAATTGCCAGGGGGATTCTATAAAGCAGGGAAGAATGGGGCGGGGAGAATACGACAGAAGAAATGTCTCAAAGATCAGTTTCACAAATCGTCCAAATTTCAAGCACTAGTGTTATTCTGAGGCTTGTTTTGAAAGTTTATAGCTTCATAAATACCATGCCAGGATAGATGCCTGTAACAATTTATTTAAATTTTAATTTGCCAGTAGGTATCTTAGGTATATGAAGCTGTTGCTTATTTTCCCGTCCATGTATTGCAGGCGAGTCTTACCTGTGTCTCTATTTTTCAATTTTTTTTTTTCCTGCAAGCATTTTCAATCATTCCAGAAGAAGAAAAATGTCAATCAGTGTTTTTATTACACGGTTCTGGTGAAACAGTACTTAGGTGCACGCTTTCTGTATGTAAGAAACGTAAATAGTTTTGATAACCGGAAAAAATCAGCTCACTATAAACAGGAATGTGCCACCCTAAATTTAATGTTTGTGGAAAAACTGGGAAAGTTACGTCTGCTAAAACGGGTTTAAAATTCAGGCAGTGTTTTCACATTGAAGCATGGCTGTGAGTCAGTAGAACTTGAGCTTAAAAGATAGTGAAGACACGTTAAAATTTTTTTTTCAGGTTACTGAAGTAATGCTATTAGTGCTTAATACATATAAGACCAAGTAACTAGCTGGACTACTTCCACAAAATGACATTTGGAAAACTGAGAAGAATACACAATTTGGGGTCAGTGCTACAAGGAGCAAGTTGCATGCTAGCTATGGATGAGCTTTCAACCCTGGGATAAACCATATTTTCCAGTATAGTCACGGTCACTTTGTCATGTTTTAATGCCACGGTGAAGATTTTGCATGGCTGTCTTACTCTGTACGGTCAAGGCTTTGAAATTCCAGAACTTTAGAAAACATGGAAGAGTCAATGTTGGGATGGCTGCTGACAGACATTGCACAGATCGCCACTTCACTTGCTAGGTGATTGGGGTGGTTCTGAATTAACGTGGCTTAAATGAAACACTTTCCAAAGAAGAGTATCAGAACCAGGAAGGAAGTCCTACTGTTGAGACACTTCATGAAAAAAATCCAGACTGAAAATATTAAAAGTGTGACACGCCTTTTATTTGACAGCAAATTCTCCCTCTTAACCTTCGGCTGATCTCCCTATACACAAAGAAGCTGTGTAAGAGCAGATACTCTTGTAAGGAGAAATGAACTAAAAGTATTGGGTCCTTTACAGTTCAGTTTAAAATCAAATTTTAAAATACTAAAGATAACATCAACTTTTCATGAATTGTTCCGTCAGATTTTCTCTCTGGGTTAAAGCCCTCTGTTACTGTAAAATTACTGTATAGCAACACCATGCATCTTGTTGAGCTAGCGGTTTTAAGGACTAGGGTTTACTGAACTGGAGTCGTCTTTCATATAGACCTAGAGGAATCTGACTGATGGCGATAACTTTGTTTTTTCTTCTTCCCTGCTTCCTCAGAATGGCTGCCTTTTGTGTGATGAAACTTTTATGTCAAGCAACCAGAAATGAGAAGAGATATGCAAAAAGACTCTTTGGTACTCTTCTGACACAACCACCACCAAAGAGGGTCTTTTCTCCAGTCTGGATGGTGGTACCTGACCCTACAAAATCAACTGTGTTTGGACTTGCTCAGCCATTTTGTACAGCTGAAAAATTTCACACGGAACCAAAAAGGAAAGCGGCATTTGGAAGCGTTGGGCGAAGAATTCCCTATCGGATTTTGCACGTAATCGACCAGGATGGAGAGAGCTTAGGAAATATGCACCGAGCAGAGGCACTCAAACTTATGGATCAGCGTGACCTGAAACTAGTCCTGCTTTGTGAGAAGGCAGAACCTCCTGTATACAGACTAATGACTGGGCAGCAGATTCACGAAGAACAGCTTAAACATGCAGAGAAGAGAAAAGCAAGTCCAAAACCAGGTATGTACATGGTTGACACTACAACACTGAGCACTCTGAAAAATGCTGCCTTAGAAGCAGGTTAAATCCTTACTTGCATTTGTGTAAATCCAAAGCAATGTCACTGCAGTCCACACTGTTAAGGATTTGCAGTGGTGAAAATAAAATTTTGGATTAGTTTAGTCTTCCACACAGAAGCCTTCTAATGCCTTCTCAGGATTTACTATTTTGGCATCTGCTGGCTTTTTTAAAAAAATATTTTTATTTAAGTGACTCTAACTAGACTCCGGTTCCATGAGACTCACTGAATTTCTGTTCTTTTAGTAAGGCATAAAGTGACAGGCAGTTTTTACAAACTGAGCACCAGATACCAATATAATTACATAATTTTGTCACCAGTAGCCATGAAACATTCTGTTCCTAGCTTGCTGCTAGGAAGACAAAGTCTGGACCCCTTTCTTATACAGAGCAAGAGAACAACTTTTTCAATACTGAACACTTCCCAGTGTTTTTTTTTTTTTTTAAGTCAGCCTGCTCCAGCAGTTTAACAAACCGAGTTTGGCAAAGAGCTTGTAGAAAAGGCATCTGACCTTGTATCCTCTTTTCTTATCCTCAGGCTAACAAAGGGATCTGTGCTTTGAGTAGAGTTCTGATTTTAGAGGACAGCACTATTGTGGTAGTGAGTGTTTCTGTTCAAGAAACTACAAAAAGGTTATTAAAATGGTAACTACTTTACAGAATCTTTAAGGAGGAAGAGAACACAAATTGTTCAAGTACATTAGAAGGCATCATACTTCGAGTTGCATATTGCACTTCACCATTCAAGAAAAGGGTCTTGAGATGAAGAGCTATCTAACTTCAAAGCTTTTACATTCAGCTATACTATGTGCAGAATGTAGGAATATGCGTACTTGAGTCTTTAATTCCAGATCCAATGCTTACCTATTTATCTTTGTTAGACCTGCACGCGGGTGGTATGAACAAAACTGTAGTTAAAATAAAAATACTTCAAGCCTTCTGACCCTGAAGAGACTTCCCTGTGTGCCTCAAACATGCACTCGGTCTCCCAATTATGGCAGTGAGTGTGCGATAGCAAGCAGCCACCTTCTAAGGTGAGAGTGGTGCGTGCTGAGACGACGAGGTTGGGACGCTCCGTGTTATGAGGAAGCAGCACGGGGAAAGGGAGTTAAGCAGACAAAGCACCATAGGCTGCTGAAAGAGAGCAACTGATACAGGTTTGTCAGAAGGTTGAGCCAACACAATTTTAGTTCTGTTTTAAACAGGGGTGGTTCAGAAGGAGTTATCCTTCTCTTCAGCTATTGCCAAGAACGACTTGGAGACCAAGACTAAACAGATAGCACAGTGGATTGAAAAGAAATACCATGTTAAAGTTACCATCCGGCAAGCAAAAGGCAGCAATACAGACATGGTAAGTGGAGTCCTGAAAGCTGGACCAATCAATGTCATTAAATAGCTGTACTTGTATTACATGGCAGTACTGAATAGGGGATGTTTTTTTTAATCTATCATGTACTGCTAAAATAAGTGAAGGTCTAGGTCCCATGAAAGTAACGACTGCCCCACCTTAAGCTGCATCTGTTCAAACACTGCAGTTCTAGAAAAGTAGTCCCATAGAGACAATTCAAATACTGTGCGATTGTAAGAATGCAGTTGTAATACTGGCCTTGAGAGCAGAGTCTAGGCAGTTCCTGCTCCTTTGCAGCACCACCTTATTAACTGGGCTGCTGAAGTTTTCCTGTCTATGTCTTAAGCCAGCTCACTCACTGAAAAGTTTAACAGTAAGGTTTAAAAAAAAATGAGCTGTATTCTAGCTGGATTATTTCAATAACCTAGCTGTTCTTCTGAAGATGCATTTGTGCAACTGTGGCTAAGGTTAGTTGTCCACTGCTGTGTGAAAAACTCCCAGAATGATGTTCCAAGAGTGGCAAAGTAAACATCTGTAAAGATGTGAGGGAGCTGGTAGCAACCTACTCACTAGAATAATTGCAAGGCCTTGAGACTTGTCTTCACTGTCATTTGCACAAATGGCTTTTTTATAAAGATTCCATGCAAGATTTTTTTTTTCCCTTTTAATGTGTGTAGGGAATTAGGTTTTCACGATGATTGTCTCTACTGAATTGGTGGAAAAAATTGTGCTATCACTTCATCCAGAATGAACAAAACTTTTTCTAGGAGGTTGAACTCACAGGGAAAGGGCAGCAAGAGGAAGAACTGGATATGGGAGGGAGCAGAACATTTTATGATACAGTCCAGATTTAGGTTGTCCTTAAATGTAAGAGCTTAATTATGAGCTTAAGAGTTCAGCTTGTTCTACGAATGCACTGTATCACTCAGTTCAATACTACCAGGTTCTACTAACCTTAGAACAACACTGCCCCTTAAGAGGAAAATGCCATAATAATATGCCCGAATGTAGTGGAAGAGGAGGGCCGGGAGGAGTCAGATGCAGTTGTCATCACTTTCACCAACACCTTTAAACAGCAAGACAGGATGGGTCAGGAATTCAGCCTAAGTCTTAGGAAATGGCTTAATCCCTCTGGTGACTTTCCTAAACCTGCTTTTGAGTAAAGAACAGATGGTTAGGAAAGGACAAGCTGAACTGCTCAAACCAGGACTAGCAACAAGCTCGTTTCAGCTAACAGCTACACCACAAGCAGGAGACCATGTCATTACAGAACAGCCTGAAATATTTTTCTACCCACGTTTGTACATTTAGTCCTATTTTTCTCCTTCTTTTTAGTTCACCCTTTTTGATCAGATTCTGGAGACTGTGTCCGAGAAAGCCACTTATCTTTCCAAGCCAAAAGTTACTAGAGAAGGAGTGAGTACCTGTATTTTGAGACACATGTCTGAGAAAGAGTTGAAAGCATACCAGAAGATGGAAAAACAGAAAAAGAGTGCAGTAAAGGAAGATGAAAACAAAGATCTGCAAGTCAAATGAGTTGCATCAGTGACTTTATGAAGAGGTGTAAACAATACTAACTTCTTATTTAAAAAAAAAAAAAAAAGAAACCTATAAAACTTAATAAAGTTACTGTTGAGCTTGGCAGTGGTCATTCCATGAAAAATGTTTTCTCAGTTAACCTTTACTGCAGAGTCAGAATTTCAACAGTTGGTATTTCATTTTCCATGGGCTTATCCATTGTCTTGCTTTCTGTCACAACCGCATCCTTTCCTCGCCGCGTTTTAGGAGGGATGTAGCCGCTCAGACGAGAGGCTAAGCTCCTCTTAGGACGAGAACGCTTTGCCTGGCAGAAATAAATCCAGAATTAGCAACTTAACATATCTATGGAGCAAAGACTACTAATGTGGTGGGGAAGGAAGAAATCAGTGAATAGGCCAGCACTGCATTATTTAAAAGAGCTTCCAAAATTAAGACTCTCTCAAATTAAGTAGATAGTTGGCCTGTTTTCCTGCTTGAAGTCACATTCTAAAACACGTAATGTTTACCCTCCTTTGAAGTGACAGGGTATGGCTGAGAGGATTTTTTCAAGAATACAACTTACTTTCACGTTCAGCTTTCTCTTTTCAGGATCATGTAAAACTGCGTGCCTTGATAGGCTCTGCTACAGTTACAAAGAGCAGGGGAAAAAAAAAAAAAAAAGAGTTAGGTTTAATACTTCAGATTTACGTGATTCAGAATAGAACAGTGTAAAAAATACATACCTTCATTGCAAACACTCTTCCACAGCCAGGATAATCACAAGAGAATGGTTTTTTCTCCTCATGAAAAGAGAGGATATGGCTTTGAAGATTAAATAAAGTTGTGTAGGTTCTCCCACATCCTTCTCTCGGGCATCGGCAGACTTCCCTCTCCGCAGCATGTGTTTTTTGATGCTGCTTGAGATAATCTTTCCGTTTAAAAGTTTTGTGACACTCACTGCAAACTATCGGCTCTGAGTGGGAGAAAGGCAGAGTATAAATTAACAGCCTCTTACAAGAGCTCAGAATCAAACCCTAGTAGTCCTCTAGAACAATGCTAAAATCCACATGACGTACAAGGAACTCAGAGACTGAAAGAGAATAAGACAGTATGAATTATCCAGATCCAAAATCCTACATTATACAATTCCTCATTATCTGGATCACAAAGCAAAGTTAGGATACTGAGCAGCATTTTCATCAGTTAAAGGTCTAGCCAGAGTGAAAACCATTTTACAATAAAGTGTTAGTAAACAAGTTTGTCTAGACACAATGACAAGTGGATCACACGAGTTCAGCAAGGACGACTCTTCAGATTAGCAGTTTGTTTCCTATTTGTATCAAAAGTTAAGTTCTGTTTACTAAAGCATTTGGAGTTTACCTGTATGACTTTCTTTGTTATGTTTCAGAAGCTCTGTCCAAGTTTTTCCAGTATATGAGCAGTTTTCCTTCTTGCATGCATAGCCTGTTGGACAGGACAGAGGTTTACAATCACAAAGGTTCTGGCAAACAGTCCGGTTTTACAAGGGGGAACTCCACTTTCAGTGTGTGAAAATTAAAGCCCAGTATTCCTCCTCTCCTCCCATACTGCCCGGTGATGGGACAAGAGGCAACGAACACAAATTAGAACATGAGAAAATCCTAACAGGTTTCAGGAAGAAACCTCTTTATCACTGCCACAAGTTGTCCAGAGAGGCTGTGGAATCCCTACCCCTGGAAACATTCAAAGCTTGACTGGACACAGCCCTCAGTGACCTGGTCTAACTGACCCCGCCTTGAGCAGCGACTCGGACCAGATGACCTCCAGAGGTCCTTTCCAACCTAAATCATTTTACAAAACTTTCTCTCCTTGCTGCAGTAAAGCTACTTCCTCGCCAGCCATACACGTTCGCTCAAATAGATGAAAATAACTGTAATAATATATATTACTGCTATATAAAAATTTGTATTACATATTAAAAAAATAAGACCTTGACCATACAGTAATGCTGCAGAGTCTGAAGAGACTCTACCATTCTATCAAGCAGACAGGATGGTTTTTAAACGAACCACAGAAAGTCAACACTATTTAAAGCCCAGGACTGGAAAGATCCAACAACTATGACTAAGTCCCTGTCTTAAGAAAGGAACATAGTATGAATTGCAGCTTTTTGGATACTCTTCCTAGTCCCTTGGGTTTGTTTTTATTTTTTTTTTTCTAGTACTGGAAAGTGCGTTAGCTGTCAATAGTACTGAAAGAACAGACAGGAGCGTGGCAGGATTAGCTCAAACATGCATGACCACCTCCTGATGATTCCACTTAAATACTTTTCACATAGGTACATTAATATGTAAAAATGCAAACCTCCATGGTTTTGCCAAGGCTCCATAGGAAATCTGTGGCAGAACTGGCAACTGATCTTAACCTCCGGAGGTCCAGGCTGGCGCCTTAACCATTAGCCCATCTCCAGCAGGTGGATTATTGACAAGGAAGCACACTAGGAGAAGAAATGACTGAAGGATTCCTGAGCTCTGTTCAGCCTGCCACAAGGACACTGTAACGGAACACTGCAATGCCTTGCCATTGTATCCCATTTGACTATTCAAAACGGGTGTTCTGGTTTTGTCTGTCTGGATCGCTAGGCCCAGAATACTTTCATGTCTGTTTTATGTCCCAGCATACTCTCTGTTCTGGAAGAAGTCCTTTTTCCTTTGCTAAAACATAATTGAAGCAAGAAGAAAAACTGTATTACCTTCATGTACCTTCTCGTGCCGCTTTAGTCGACTTGGAGTAGAAAAGTACTTTCCACATCCTTCATTACTACATCTAGGTATAAAATACACTGGTTTAATTTCTTTCATTACATCCACGTAATTTTTGTTCTTTAAGTCAAGAACAATTAAGGTGGATAAAATAATCCATGTTTTCCCCTTGCCTAGAGATCTGTTCTGTTCCCCCTCCGCCTTGTAAAAGTGAATTCCATAGTACGTTTCTAATAGAGGACTCCGATCCCCTCGAGAGTTAAAACTGTGGTATGATTTCCACGTATACAGCAAGTTAAGCTTTAGCTAAAGAATCAAGCCTCATATCATCCCTACGCAGCAGGCTCTTCAAACATAAAAGAGAGATAGAAAGCGGAGGGTTTAAGTGGCTTGTATGGATCTAGCAGTCAGAGCAGCAGAGCACTGACAGTATTTTTGTGCCTGTCACCCAGCCATACTAGTGCACTTCACTTAAGTGGAACGCTCCTGTTAAGTGTGTTCCACCTAAGAAATACAAGACGAAACTTTGCTTTCATCAGATCTGTACTGGTGTGTCATGTAAATAATGGAGCTGCAAGCACAGCTTCTCAGATTGGTGTCCAAGCCTCTCACCTTTTTTAAGCTACTACTCACTTCAGTGTTAGACAAGTCACTGCTTTTTACTGGAAAACAGAGGTAGCTGCATTTTTCATTACCATGCCAGCTCTTATGCTTCTATTTCAGACTACATGAATGAAAAGCTGGGGTTTTTTTGTTAATTTTTCCTGTGAACCTGTAATAAGCCCTAAGAAAATGTCTGGAACGCTGACGTTACAGAGCATGAAGACGGTTGCTCGAAATCCTGAGCAAAGCACTAGTACAAGAAATGTACTTGCAGCCATGACTACAAATTCATTCCAGTTTTTTTTTTAAATGCCACATCAATGAAAAGGCTGAGAAAAGGCACCTGTTTTCATCTACAGTGTTTAAATGGAATTGTTAAAGTTCATGAATAAAATTATCCACCTACTTGAAGGGAGGTTCATTGGTGTGGTGACACTGATGAACTTTAAGTTGTTGATGTTTCCTGAAAGACTTGTTACAGCCTCCAAAGTCGCACTATTTAGGAAATTAAGTTATCATTAGATGCCAAACAATGACAGCGCAGTCCAGATGTGTTTGCTGAAATCCCCATCTCATACAAATGCAGCATAAGAAGAAGTTGAAGTATTTCACTACATACACAAAAAGGAGCGTGTTTAGCCTCCACTTTACAGTAGCAAAGGCAATTACTCACCACATACTGCTTTTGCTGGTTTTGATGCTTGCGCTCAATATGCTTCCTTAAGTTCGATTTTGTTCCAAATTTCTGATTGCATCCATCAGCTGCGCACCTGCAAAGGAACCGCATTTTTTATTACCACCTTCAAACAGTGATTTGTTTCCTGGGCAGACGCAGAAATCATTGGACAAGAGGAATATGTGAAGAATAACCGAAACTCACAACCCAAATATAAAAACTTGTTTTAAAGACATGAAAAGCCAGAGGTTAAGTTACAATCAAAAGCCACAGGAAAACACATCAGAAGAGGTTTTTAATAAAACGCATAGGAATTCCTAGCTCCTAATGCATGACATGCAGCTGTTAAGGGCTTAGTAGTAGGAGATAACTGCCCTTCCCTCTTTTAATTTTGTATTCCAGGGAGAGATCTGCCCATTCCTTTAAGCATCTATTATGGATCACTGCCAGACAGGAGGTTTTAGGCTAAGGAGATTCCCCACATCTCACTCTGCGTGCACGCTGTCACGGCAGTACTCAGGGTACCAAAGCCCGGCAAGCATGCTCTGCACCACTCGCACACCAGTTTTAACTCCACTTCCATAAAGACAAGCATCATCCATTTTAAGAAGGAAAAAACTTTGCCCTACTCGAACGGCTTTTCCCCGGTGTGCGTAAGAAGGTGTCGAGCGCGGTGGAAATCTCTCGTGAAACCTTTACCGCAGCCTTCGTACTGGCAAACATACGGCCTCTGAAAGAGAGAAAGGGTCGTTCAGGGATGACAAACCACACCTCGGGGGGCTCGGC